TTTTTTTTTTTTTTTTTTTTTTTTTTTTTTTTAGAGACAGGGTCTCATTATATAGCCATGGCTGGCCTAGAACTCACTAGGTAGACCAGGCTGGCCTCAAGCTCACAGAGATCCACCTGCTTCTTCCTCCTGACTGCTGAAATTAAAGGCATTTGCCACTATACCCAACTCTCTTCATCTCATTTTTGAGACAGTCTTTTCCTGAACCGGGGCTCACAGTTTCCGCTAATTTGAGTGGCCAGAGCCCCCAGATCCTTCAGTGTCTGGCCGCCCCGTTTGAGCTCTGGTGTTATAGGCACACAGCACCATACCTGGATCGTGGACTGGGGCCTCATGTTCGCAGGGCAAGCACTTTGCCCCTGCGCCCTCTTCCCGACCTCTGAATTTTGTTTTCACTAGCTAATAACTTTAAATAAATTGGTGAATCAGTTCAGAGTTTACGCCTTTTTAGAAGTGGAGCGGGACTCTGCAGATTGTGTCTAAGACAATTGCTGTCCCCATACTTCAGTTCTAGTCCAACCCTCCCTCCAGCTTGTGCTTTCACAAACCGTTTATTTTGGAAGAAATAACATTTTTCATGAGTTACCCTTTATAAGTATGCAATCAGTTGGTCCCCACTGAATTGACTTGCAGTGCTGGTAAAGCTGAACATGAAATCTTTCTTTTAGCAAGGACTTAAGTGCAGCACATTGTTGCTGACAGGCGGCCAGGTTGTCCAGCACATCCCCAGAGCTGAAGCTTGACCGAGCCTTTCACACACACATCAGTCACCGCTGTTTCCCTGTCTTCAGCCTCCTTCAGCCACTATTCTACTGTTTGGTTCTGTGAACTTGAGTATTTTACACAGCTTATAGAAATGGAGTCATGCAACATATGACCGGCTGTTATACCCTGAGTCATCAGCACTTTACAATGTCACCTTCGTCATAAAAAGTGGAGTAGTAGTCCATTATATGTGTGTATCCCCAGACAGGGTTTCTCTGTATAGCCCCCGCTGTCCTGGAGCTCACTCTGTACACTAGGCTGACCTCACGGAAATCGCCTGCCTCTGTCCCTTGAGGGTTGGGACTAAAGGCATGTGCTGCCTCCAGTTTCTTTATTTCCCACTGAGCAATCAAGTTGTTTCCAAGCAGGGCAGCTTCGAACAGTGCTGCAGTGACCATAGGAATGGGGCCTCCTGTTGGAAATGCTGATTCCAACTCTGTGGATAAGTCTGCAGTAGGATTGCTGGGTCACACAGTAGTCTGTCTTCGTTTCTGAGGGACCTCCATGCTGTCTTCCATGGTGGTCACACCATTTTGTGTTCCTACTCACAGTATGTGAGGGTTCACATTTTTCCACAGCCTTAAGGCTTTCTTCTTGTTGTTATTGGCAGTGGTGCTAGTTGGTTGATTTTCTGACAGATGACTTTGTTACACAGTCTAAGGTGGCTTGGCATTCAATTATATGGCCCGAGCTGTTTCATAAATAAAATCTCAATCATTTTATTTTGCCAGTAAAGACTCAGGCACCAGATACTGGGGTAAAAACCTAGCTCAAGAAAGGCAGAGAAAATACCTAGCTGATCTTTCTATTTAGCTGACATCACAGAAGAAAAAAGCCTTTCTACTCAGCTCAGCCTCAGCAGGAAGAAGGAAAAGAAAAAAGTCCTGTCTTCTTCCTCTTCTTCATGCTGTCTTCACCTCAAAGTCCTTCCTTTCTGTTTAATTCCTGTCAGCTGGTTACTTGCTCCTCCTCTGGATTAATTTATTTAATCCTGTTTACAGAAAGCTCTTGGATTAAAGGTGTGTGCTAGGGCTGAGCCGCTCCACAACTAGAAACAGGTTTTTACAATTCACTCTCTCAGGGCTCACAACTGCAATACCAGGCTATCCTCAACTCATGCATGTCCTGTCTCTACCTTCTGCATGCCAACTTTACAGCAGTTCTATGTGGTTGGTTTGGTTTTTAATTTTGTTAGCATACAGACTAGTTTTGTGATTTGGTGTTGGCCATCCTGACACCAAAACCACAAAACTATTATGTATGCTAACAAAATTAAAAACCAAACCTGACATGACATGGTTCCACATTATGGATTTCATTTTCGTTCCCCAGAGATCTGTGAATTGAGCATTTTGCATGCTCATGGGGCTGTTGTATCTTTTTTTTTTTTTTTTTTTTTGAGAAACAACTACTCAGGTTCCTAGTCTAGGTTTTAATTGGGTTATAATTTTTTCTTGTTTCTTTCTTTCCCTTCTTTCCTCTGTCTCCCTTAATATTTCATCACATGTATCCCTGGCTGAACTGGAACTTTTTTTTTCAGATTTTTTATTATTTTATGTATATATGTCTTTTGCCTGTATGTACCTCAGTGCACTATGTGCATGCAGCTCCTGTGGAGTCCAGAAGAGGGCGCTGTATGTACTGGGCCTGGGGTTATAGATGGTGCTGTGACTAGAACCTGTGTCCTCTGGAAGACTCCTCTGGAAGATTAAGTTCTTAACCTCTGAACTGTCTTTCCATCTACACCTGTCATGTAGACCAGGCTGCCCTTGAACTCACAGAGTTCCACTGCCTAAAAGCATACACCAACAAACAAACAAAACCCCAAAACAAAAAACCACCAACAACAAAAAGCACGCGCTACCACGCCTGGTCCCTTGTTTTCTCTTTTCCATCTATTTGCTTATGTGCGTTTGTGCATGTGTGTGTGTGTGTGTGTGTGTGTGTGTGTGTGTGTGTGTGTGTGTGAGGTTAGCTTGTGGACAATGGCCTGTTTTTCTCCTTACCTGCTGGGTCATCTGCTTCCCCTTCTTTCCGTCCATTTTTGTTTGTTTGTTTTGTTTTGTTTTTGTCTTTCTGAGACAGGTACTTATTCTGTAGCTTAGGCTGGACTGGAATGTGCATAGCCCAGGCTGCCTTCCAACCCCATCTCTGCGGTTACGGGGGAGCACTGTCACACCCAGCTTGGTTTTATATTTTAATTCTCAAATTATTATACCTTTGACCCCAAATTTACCCTGCCTACAAGAAGTGTAGGGATAAAGATGGAGCAGAGAGTGAGGGAAAGGCCAACTAAATGACTGGCCCCACTTGAGGTCCACTCCGTGGGAGAGAGCCAACCTCTGTCACTATTAGTGATACTATGACACAACGCTATGATTGCAGTCCAGTGCCTGGCACGACTGTCTTCTGAGAGGCTTCATCGAGCAGCTGATGGAAACACATGCAGAGACCCACAGCCAAAAAGGAGGTGGAGCTTGGGGTGTCTTGTGGAAGAGTTGGGGGAAGGATTAGGGTCAAGGACATCACAACAAGACCTGCCATGTCAACTAACCTGGGCCCAGAGAGTCTCACGGAGACTGAAGCACCAACCAAAGTGCTTGCTTGGGCTGAACCTAGGCTCCCTACACACATGTAGCAGATGTGCAGCTTGTTCTTTGTGTGGGTCCTCGGGGTGTGTTGGCATCCCTTGGGGTCCTCCTCTTCTCTAGGGTGAGGGGCTGTGAGGGTGGGACTGGGAGGAGAGAAGGGAGGGGCCTGCAATCAGGCTGTAAAGTGATTAATGAATTAATGAATGAGAAAAATTGCCTTAAAAAAAAAAAAAGAAAAAGGAAGGAGGTGATATGGAGGTAGGAGGAGCATGTGTTGGGGGATCCAGGGATTGTGGGAAAGAGGAGTTGGGGATGCATATGATCAAGACACACTATGTATGTTTATGAAATGGTGAAAGAGTGAGTTTATTGTAAATAAAAACTAAAATTAAGAAAAAAGCCAGCCAAAAATCCCAGCATGCATTAAGGAGGGGCTTAGCTGAGATGCTGGGAGCAAGTAATGGCTGCTGGGGAGGGAGAGTCCTATTCATGCACATCCGTGGAGGTTTAAAACAGCACACGAAGTCAGGAGGGAAAAGCTGTGGTGTGGGGGTAATAACGGAGGAACCGGAGGGGAGGGATTCAGGGGTGTGCAAATTTGAGCAAAACGCATGTGTGCATGACCTTCTTAAATAATAAAATAGTCTTGTAGCTATACTAAGATATACTGAATCATTCACTTCAATGGAACAATTTTATGTGCAGTATATGAATTATATCTAAATTTCTAAAATATAAGTCTGCTCAGAAATCTTAAGCTACATCCCCAGGCAGGCCCCTAGAAAGTTACTTTTCCAGATAATATAATGTTTAAAATTATCAGAACTACATTACTGAATTACTAATTACATTATTGTACTGTACTCATAAATATGTACAATTAAAAAATGAAATAATTTGAATAGAAAATAATTACCAAAATATATGTCATCTGTAGTTTTAAAATGACATTAAAGATCTGATTATTTTTTGCTGAAACTCCATTCCAAAATTGACCAAAACAACAAAAAAGTGTTGAAATGAGTAACTTCTGTGTCATATGTCATTTAAAATATTGTAAATGTGTTTCTCAATATCATTGACATAAAATATTTATTGTTTAGTGTACTAATATAAATTTGGGTTAAAATATTTCTTGAAGTGTTAAAAGTGGTATTTTTATTTTCTCATAATAGCTTTGTTGTTAATTTCAATAGACTATAGTATTCAAAGAAATCCTGTCTTTAACTCCCCTTCCCCAAATATTAGACATCTTTGAACGTATTGTTTAGCATTAGCCAGTATTGTTTCAAATTAAATAGTATTATTGATGTAGTGTGGTTTATTAGGAGCTAAATACC